ACATTGCAAGAGCTCGGCAGTTATGCCCTCATCGTCACTTGCGCCATTGTATGCTTGGGTACAAGCCAGGTCGTTGCAAAGCCGAGGAGGCCGCATCTCTGCGCAGCTTGTCGTGACAGGGTTTGCTGCAGGTGCTTCTGCATTGCTTGTCGAGCCAACTTCTTCGATGCCCTCGTGGGGCTCGTACTGCAAAGTACATGCCATATCATCAGAAATTGCAGATGGGGCTGCTGCAGAAACATCTGCCCTGCATGCAGCAAAGCCCTCACTCTCTCCCCCGCCGCTTGGGAGGTTGGGCATTGGCGTTGCGTCGCAGAGCTCCGTCTGCTGCTCCTGCCTGCCAGATTGCAAGAGCTCGGCAGTGAAGTCCTCGTCGTCACTTGCGCCATTGTATGCTTGGGTGCAAGCATACTCATTGACATGCGAAAGAAAAGGCGTTGTGCTTGCTGTAGTTGTAGCTTCATCGATCTTTTTTCTGGGGCGCTGGGCGTCTCCTTCAGCCTGGTCTTGGCTGTCCCCAAGCCCATATGCCTGTGTCGAAGGAAGACCATCAGCAAAACTCTCGAAAGCAGCTATGTCTTCGCAGTACAGCTGCGTGCATGCGAGCTCTAACTCTGCTTGAGGGCCCACTGCCATCGATCCTGCATGCCATTCGACGGGCTGATCGTCAGCATTCCTTTCGTGCAAATCTTGGTACGGCCTCCCTTCCTTACTACAGAGGACAGATTCTGAACTGCTTAGTCGTCTTGCTGTCTCCCCAGCAAGCAACCCACGCAGATTACAATGGCGTTGTTCGCACTTGGCCATTGCTGAGCTTCATGGAACACAACTGACCGTGTAAACAGACCTGTGAGAAGCTTAACCGTTCATGGTGCATCCGGTAGACAATGCGAGGTCATAGTATCTAGATTCGATCCTGTTGAGATGCATCAGAATTATCTCACTGCCAAGCCGAAAAAGCTGCAGCACAGAACACTCCCGCACATGCAAGTGCCCACCATGCAGCCGCTGTCGTCGCACATGGTGCAAACTCCATCGATTCCGCGCGCCCCACCATCTCCCGGAGTGCTAACACCCTCCACCAAATCCCCATGCATGCCAGCTGCAAAAGCTGAATTAAGGGAATGTCACAAACACCGGCGCTTGCATGGCTCCTCATTTAGCTCCTTCCGCGGGAGCTGAACCAACGAGCTTCACCCTTTCAAACAGCACAGGCCTTGACCTTTTTGCCATGGTCTGCTGATCTTTTGATGCCTGGACAGAACACCGAATCCAAGTTGCATTCAACTGCAAAGTCTCCATGCAGAGCCCTATAGCACCGCCAACTCCCCCCCCCCCTGCCTTGCCGAAACTGAGGCAGGCACAGCGCCTTCGTACATCGGGTTCTCCTCGGATCAAGACTCATCGAGCCGCACTCGGCAAATCTCGGGTCCGCTCGGGTCCGGACTCTCCCAGGGCCGCGCCAACCTCACGGCAAGATGCCAGGCCGTTCCGAAGGGAACTATGCAACTCAGCTTCGAGCCTCAAGTGTGCAAGCAGCGGCTCGCACCACAAATACTGCCGCCAGGATCTGGCATCAGGATTGGGTCCGGAATCATGCGACCGTCTCCGTTGCAGTGCAGGCTGGGGTCTGCTCAGCCCTAGTGGCAGGGGAGACGCGAATACCGCTACGAACTTTTAGGGGCTCCACCATAAAGCCGAAAGCAGGAAAGTCCCAAAACCCTGTCCTTAACCCTGAGCCGATGGGCCCGCCACGCGATTGTGGCGCTTTGGCCCAGCCTGGGCCCCCTCCAGGAGAACAAAAGACTCCAAGCACCGCCTTGCTGGGAGAGGGCAAAAGCAGAGAAGGGCCGGAAGAGAGAAAAGGTAGAGAAACAGATCAACAGAGAGAGAGAGAGGCAGAGAGAGGAGCACTTCGGTTTCTGAGGCTGTCGGCTGAAGCACCAGGCCGACCAAGCAGGCCTCATCTTTCTCTCTTCTCGGCTCGGAATAAAAACGACGGCCCTTGGGGATCCTGGCTGCAAGAGAAGCCGCCGCCACAGCTTGGAGACCCAGCAGAGGTCCGCCTCGTCGAGCCACGAAGCTACTCGCACTCCCTCTCCGCGTCTCGCCTCGCCTTTTTTCAGCGGCGCGCCCCGATGGACCTCCGCGAATCACCCTCTCAGCGAATGCGCCAAGGAGCCTATTTCAGACAGCGGCGGTGGCTTTGCTTGGCCGAAGTCGCAGTCGCCGCTGGCTTATGGCAGACATGTCTCATGCATGAGGACCCCGAAGAGACGGACTCTGCTGCTTTGTGCCCATGTGGCAGACGTTCCTGTTTGCACGCATGGTTCAGAGGCTGTATTGAGCAGCGTTTTGCAGTGGTCTGCTTCGTTATGTTAACCGACATGTGAAACTGCAGCGCAAACGGCGGAGATGGCCTTGCTTCCTGCAACCGCATTTCTGTGGACTGCAGGCCACAAGCTGCATCAAGGCTGTCTTCTCACACGGCACGATCTCAAGGCGGAGTCAGCAGGTGGCCCAGGACCGACACGAATCAGGCGGGCGTGATGCCCCTATGTACATGCCTCCTCCGCCTTCAGCGGCTGGATCCTTCCAGCTAAGGCAGCTAAGGACTTGCCTTGTGCAGCGCGCTGCCGCACAGAGCTTGACAGCAAGACCTGGTTCCTGCACAGGCTGACTTCAGCAAGTAGCGGGTAGCGCAGACATGCTGCAGCATTTTCCAACAACCCTTATCTGTGATGGGGACATGTCCGAGACTTCAGCAAGCGAAAAACCCATCGTTGCAAATGAATTGGAAGCCTCCAGCATTGGCACTTGCCCTGGAAGACCTGCAGCCTCCACTGAGGGGCTAGCCGGCTAGTCAACACAACACTTTGCAGCCACCATTTGTCTGGAATGTGCCGCGCCGAAACCCCCTGTCTTTCCGTGTACTGACACCGTGAGTAGGATGCCGCTCACGAGTCCACAGAACCATCCGACCAAACCTGTGGCAAAGGGGCCGTGCACTGAGACAGAGAATAGGAGCCGAAGCGAGCCTCCGATCATAGCTCCAATGGGAATGGAGAGACCGAAGGTCAGCAGAGCAGGAACGAGACCACAAATGGCGCCGACGAAGCCTCACTCACAGTGTTATTGACATGAAGCTGCCCCTAATTAAAACCTGAGAGACTCCCAAGAGCCTCCACCAGCCATGCCCAGGGTTCCGCAGCCCAAGCTGATCCTCAAGTATCCGCTGCCGCTGCACACCTCCTCTTTTTGTTCCTCTTTTGTCGGCAGCCGAGCGGCATGGAGCCTCCAAGCAGCGTGGGAGCCGCTTGGAGCGCTTGGAGGCTCCACTTTGGAGCGTCCGAGGTTCCTGGAGCCTCGGAGAGACCGGAGAGTGGAGACTTTGAGCTTGAACCGCAGGAAGCCACGTGCCGAAGGGCGACGATCCTCCATCTTCGAAGGAGGGTCTGCAGCTGTCGACAAGTGCCAATGCCGAGGAGCTTCACCTCAACCGGACAAATCATGGACAGCGACAGCCCCTTGACCCCCCTGCTTGGATGTGTCCAGGTCGCATAGGCACCGACAGCACCGACGGTCCATTCTGCCAGCACTGCCTCCAGCTCTGCACCTTTCAAGTCGTCCCTTGCCCCGGCACTGGGCCCCACCTCAGTGAAGTAAATCCATACCGCAGGACACCCAGCCGGAGCATCTCACCCGTTCAAGCCAAGCCACGGCAGCCGCGGGCTGAGCGCACGGGCTGCGACTTCCACCGAGCCTGGGAGGCTCGGCCAAGCTCCGTGCATCTCGCGGCGTGTCCCGCGGCGTCAGCTGCCGCCGCAGGCCTTCCAAAAGCTCCCAAAAAAAAAAAAAGCTCGGCCTTTACCGCCTGTACCCACTGCAAAGTTGGAGATGGGACGTCTGGGATTCCGCACCGTAGGAAGCGCCGCAGACAGCCTCCTGCGGTCCGAAGAGAAATCGCCGCACTGGGCTTGGCAGGAGCTGTGCAAGCGGCCGTCCTTGGGCTTCCGGGCTTCGAGCTTCGGAGAGCTTCGGGCAGCTTTGGGACTCTCGCTGCAGCCTCGGCTCTGAAGAGCATCTCTTGGAGCTCCGGCCCAAGGCCGCTACGGATGCTCTTCTGCTCTTCCTCGTCCAAAGTGAAGAAGAGAAGCATGGAGAAACGGGTGACGTTGAGTATCCGCTGCTTTGCGGCCCTGGTGATGTCGTGTAGGACATCGAACCTCAGCTGCCGGGAAGCACTGGAAAACGCAGCACGTCTGAATGCTTGCGCCGGGAGGCAGCGGGCGCCGAAGAACGCACGGCACCTGGCCAGGGCAGCAGATCTTCGATCAGGCCGAATCTGGCCGTGATCGGCCTCGCTGCTCACCAGAGCCAGCAGGCCCTTCCGCCAAATGGCCAGACACAAGGCGGCCGCCAGCCTACGGAAAGTCTGCAGATCAGCAAACGGGGGAGCTCCAGCTTCCACAGGGCGGTCTGAAAGCGTGCTGCAGAGGCACGCAGACCCCGCAACTGCTGTAGATCCCAGGACCAGAACGCCCAGGTAGCTCCACTGCTGCTGTGGCATCCTCAGTGCTTGAGCATGACATAAACATGCCAATGGAGCACTGAAACAGGAGTCAAGGCTTCTACCAAAGCATCGCTGCCACAGTCGTGGCACCGACATCTACGGTTCAAAGCTCCGGAACCAAAAAGGCAAGGACAGTGACATGGTTGAGCTTCCGATACTATATTGATTCAGAGAAGGTGCGGATCTTTTATTCTCTCCGATGACTCCTATGCTATGATCGGTCTCGGGTTCGACTGATGCAGCCGCGCGAAGTGGAAAAGCTCTTGCAATGAGTCGAACAGACTCGGGAAGGTCAGAATGGGAGTAGGTCTCTCATCTACGTCTATGCACAGTAGCACACACATGTAAGAATCTCAGCGTGCTACATCTCGAACCCTACTTTCTCACAATGTGTGTGCTGATGGGCTGAGATTGCTTCGCATTTCAGCGAGAATGTGCTGCAAAGGGAGGAAGGGAGTTCGATCCAGGTCCTTGCCTGGACACTGAAACACAAAGCGCTCACCACAGGAAGCACCTCCTGATATCCCACTTGTCCATGGATCCCTCGTAAGCGCCATAGGGTCCGACGGTGACACCTTCAGGGCCGTCCGGGCGCAGACCCTCCTGCGCAGCCCACTCCTGGAGCCACGTCCAGGCATCCGCTCGCGGCCAGCGCCGAGGATGCGGACCCTCTGCTTGGTGAATCACGTTCAAGCCGTTGTAAACCTACAGGACGGGATTCAGAAATCTGACGAAACAAGATGTACTTCTGTTCACGCGTCTCGCCTCCATGAGCAGCATGTGCTGAAGCGGCGCCTCTTCTTCCTCTTCTGTGGATTCTGCCGTGATGGTCATGACCCAGAAGCTGCTCTCACGGGCCTTAACTCTGCTGAGATACTTCATCAAGCTCATCCCACCTCTCCTTTCGGCACGAAGGCAATTCTTCATTGTCTGACCAACATGCTGCAGGTACTCGAAGCTCAGGATTTCGTCTATGCGGACCGTGGCCTTGCGCAGGAACTTCGGATCCTGCAAGAAGCTCTGCTCGGCTGCACAGGGCTCGTACGTGTCCCCATGCCAGCTGTTGGGCGGCTCCGGTTCACGGAAGTTCGTACCTTCCATGCCTAGCATTGCACGGAGTCCCTGTGGCAGCACTTTGCCATCTGGGGAGTCTTCACTATACGGTGAGCCGAAGGCTGCCAGAACTCCTTTCTTCACAAAGCCTCTGATCTTGCCGGGGTTCGGCAAGAAACGCTGACCGCTCATCTGTAGTCGCTGCAGTTCGAGCGTGGCTGCATCTCTTCTTGCAGCCTCCAAGACTTTCTTGGGTGCCCGTGGGTTGCCAGCAACAACCAGAGAAAACTTCGGGTCCAACATGCGTTGCGCAAGTAGCCACTCGACCGCCTGAGCTGCTTTGCTTGGGTCCTGCAACTCCTCGTCCTCCGCGAAGCGGCAAGCCCACGACAGGATGCTCAGAGCAAACTCTTCCTCCTCTTCGCTGCCCAAATCCTGGCCCGACACACGGAGACTACCGCGGGTCTTTGGAGTTTAAGCGCTTGTGTGACTTGGGCTTTGGAGTTCAAGTCAGGGTCGGGGCTGAGGCTTGGAGTTCCACGCAGTTCATGTCCTTGCCAAGCTGTGTTCTGGCAAGGGCCTCTGCAAAGATTGCAGGGCCGCCAAGGGTCTCCATCTGTGCGCGCCTCAAGGCCAGCAAGGGGCTCGCCAGGATCACAGAGAGCGGCTGCACGTGCCGCACACTCTCGGGCACTTGCACAGGGGGCGGAGGCGGAAGTTTGGCATCGCTGCTTTGTAAAAGCCTGCTCACCATCTTTTTGGAGAGATTGGGTGTGAGCAACTCTTGAGCGGCTGCAACAGGTTTTCGGTCTCCTCTGCAAACTTCTGCGAACAGGAGCGCGAAACGGGTGCACAGCTGAATGCCGGCTCCGCTGCACAACACCACCTCACGCCCGGGACGCTCCCGTAGAGTCCCACCAGCACCATCACTCCACGTGAAGGCACCGGCAAGTGTCATTGGCGCATCATCATATTTTGTCATGAGGTGTCTCAGGAGGCTCTCAAGCCTTGGCAGGGCTTCCAGGCCAGTCATGGGGCCCTCGGGGCCGTCTATATCCGCCATATCTACCTCTCCTCCATCTCCTTTCGGCTCTTCGGTCTCCCAATCCGCTGGGTCCCTGAGCCACTGCTCTCGTGGAATCAGCACCGCGAACCGGAGCAGCGCACCGACGCCACAGCTCCAGGTCGCCAACAACTCCGGTGCCCGACGCTGGCAGACGCGCAGCAGCTCGGACCACGCTGCCACGCAGGCAGAGGCATCGGCCTGAGGCTGCGCCTCCAGCAGCGAAGGCCTCGGCTCTCACAACTCTTGTGTCCCCTTGGACACGCCAACCATCACACCAATTGCAGCAAAAAGCATGTTGCAAGTTCAACAACGGAAGCACACTGCAGTTGTAAGAAGGATTTTCTCTTTGTGATTCCCTCATATTCCCTCTGACTAGTGCTCGCCCCGCCCCCCCCCCCATCCACATGCAGCGACCTTTCTCATCACCATGATCCCATGCTCCGGAGTTCGTGGTTCGATTGAAATCCAACATTGCTGTGGTGCGGTCGCATGGTCGTCTTCCTCTGCACTTCGCGATAGACACTCAAGCACGCAAATTCCAATCTGGAAGATGATCCACACTTTTGGGAGGAAAGGCGTCGGGAAAACTTCGGCGACCTTTTCAAGCAGCGCCTTGCTGGACTTTCTTGCGTAGTGCTCGGAAAGGCCGCAGTCGCACACTGCAGAGCAAGGGTGAGGAGCACGGTCTGCACAGAACCCACGTACTACTGCAAATGAGATCTTGGCATGTCAACGCCTCTCTACCTCCACCCGACACCCTGCGGGACCTGGTTACTACAATCCATGCGACTCTGGTCGCCTTGTGAACCCCACACGGACAGCAGATGACAAGACCAGATGGAGGGAACAGAACCAAGCGGGGATTACAGCCCACGACAACAAATCGATGGCCAGAAACCGAAGCCAAGTGAGCCAAGACCATTGGATGGAGATTCATTTCGGGCAAAAGACTCGAAAGTGCTCCCTACTTACAGGGTACGCCATGGTAAATGGCGATAAGGAAACAAAAATGCACCCATTCCCAGAGTGAAGGGTCGATCCCAGCATTGCCCCCTTCAACCCATGCACTTTGTCCAAACAGAAACCAGAGCACAAATGTGCCCTTGCACTCATGAAAAAATTGAAAAGGAAAGAATGGATTGCTCGAGGTTGCATGATTTTGGCTCGTTGTGGCTCCGTGCCTTCGACTCAGGAGCGATGCCCACTCTGAAAGAACCGCCTGTCTGTCTTAGATGTAGAGCTGCCATACTATCGTCCCAAAGCTGGCCCTGAACTCAACACCATCAGGGGTTGAGGGTTTAGATTTGTCGACCCTGGACCGTAAAGCCCTAAACCCTAAAGCCCTAAGCCCTAAAACCCTAAACCCTCAACCAACCTAAACCGACCGTGAACCGGAAAGCCTCTCGAACCCTAAACCGAACCCCAGCAAGGGGGCCCAGCTGAGAGCATACACCCGGAGCTCTCGGCTGAACCTCTGAGGATGTGCAACAATCCTGACTGCCCAAACCCGAAAGCCTTACAAACAAGAACAAGCCCTAAACCCTAAAACCTAACCCCTCTAAGGTTGAAACCATGAATACACCTGCTTTTTACCCTATATGTACTTTTAAGGGTCCCTAGCAAGGCCTAAGGGTCCATTTTAGGGGCCCATACTTCTAACCAGTCCCGGGCTTTCAAGCCCCTAAGCCAGCGAAAAGTAGATCCCCGAAAAAGATGGAGCGTCTTGGTATAAATCCTGCATTACCTTAAGGACCCTAAACTATGGAAATTATGGTATATTCCTAACTATGGGTAATGCAGGATTTATTATATCATCAACCGTACGACCACCTCCATCACCACCACCGGGAGACCGGCAGGAGACCATTGAGAGACCGTCAAGAGACACTGGAGACCACCAGAGAAGATCACAGGATCCCCCATGGCCAAATTGCTTCCCACAAATGCTGGTGGGTTTCAGGAGCAAAACAGTTCCCCCCAAAGTGCTGGGATTCTCAGCCAACATGCGTTCTCTCAAGTACTGACAAGTCGGATTCAGAGCTCTCGAAGCCAAAACGTGGACATATGTTGGACTTTACATTGGATCTGGCTCTCCGGGAGATGGTTTGCAGCGGATTCGGTGTAAATAACAGGGTTCGCGCAAGATTGAACGAGGATTGCCGTCAACTGAAACAGCGCATTTTGAGAATGGTTTAGGTTTTTGGGCCGAAGGAGAAGTTACTCTCCGGCAGTCTGTCTCGGCGCTGCCTGCACAAGCTGCTGTCTTTACTTCGCCAAGGCTGGAGGAAGCAGGGTGCACAAGCAAGTGCGCCCACCACACATTGCGGGGACCAATGCTTAAAGGCAAGCCGTGCCTTTTCCGTCTCTCTCTCTCTCTCGCTTTTTTTTCCGGCCTGCTCTCGTCTCTCGTTTCTTAATTTCAAGTTTTTGTTTCCCAGCAACGAGCCATGGACATGACCAACTTGCCAGTGCTAAAAAGCGTCAGCTGTCTCTGGGCTGCCACAATGTGTAGCTGCGAAAGGGGCAGCTCAACAGGCTCTGCACGAGACGATCTGTTGGTGGAGCTTCTGCGGATTGGAGGCTCATAGATCCCGAATTGACGCTCGCGCGGCGTTGCCTGGGCGGCACAGTAACAGCATGTATCTATCTCTATTTTTGAATTCGCCTGTTCTCTATTATCGTTCATGTAGCATGTGGCATCGCAAGCATGCAAGGGAAGGCTAGCTCTCTTTTTTGCACGGGTGCTGCTCAGAGTAGAGGCTTGTCTGCCTGGCAGTGCCGGCAGACAGAGAAACCCCCTGTGTGTGAGACTTATGTCTATGTCTGTAGCGCTTGCGGTTTGGCTCTGCCGCGTGCATGAGTTTGTGTTAGCCAGGCGTGCTAGAGCATGGAGTCAAGGCATGACTGTTTGCTGCGTGAGGACTTTTTGCACGGGCGGGCGGGTGCGGTTTGCAAAAAGTGCACATGCATGCTGAAGCCACAAAGCTACATGGAACGGCTGTTAGTGCATGCAAGCATGTAACAGAAATAGAAAACACCACGATGACATGAAAAGAAAAGTTTTATTTACATGGAGCATTGACCAATTTAGATGGCTAGCTAACTACCTAGCTAGCTAACTCACTAGCTAGATAAGGTTGCCGACCAGCCAGTGAGCGAGAGAGTGAGCGAGTGAGTGACTAACTTACTTCCTCTTTCCCTTTCTAAAGTTTAAAGTATTTATTTGTCTATGTATGCATTCATTCATTCGTTCATTTCCTTACTTGCTCCTTTATCTCTGCTGAAACCATTTACTTATCTGCTGTACTTCATATCAATCGTGGAGGTGGCTACCCTCTGTGGCCGTGTAATGTAACCCAACAGGACTGGAAACACCTTTTGATGTGGGTCACTCGGGTCACCAGGCAAAGCCTGGGACACAACGATGTTCCTCTTCTGCAGCACCGCCTGCTCTGCCACCTCGAGCCTCGAAAGTCTCACCAGCCAACTGGGTCCTCGCCATGACACCTGTGGTTCCGCCCCTGTGCCGACCCACCATGCAGTGGACCGAGGCAGAGTCTCCATGGTGCACAGTGGCATGGATTGCTTTGAACACCTCTGGCCAATCGCTGCGACCACTCTCCGAGGTGATGCTGAACTGCATCACTCGCGCCCCCGGCAGCGAGATGACACCTCGCTGCGGCGCAGGCGTTTGGTGCATAGCGCAAATCTGCAGGGTGATCGCCGCGGCAAACTAGACTAGACAACTAGAGCTTGCCTGCCACCCCGCGGAGAAACCCAGATTGCCGATGGCCTTTGCACAGGTCGCCGCCCGGCCCACATGTCGTAGTGCTCCTCCGCTGCTGCTTCTTGCTCCGTGTGGAGGAGATTGCTCGCTTCTTCTCGGGCGGGTTGAGCCTGCCCAACTCCATCTTGCAGGGGCTGTTGCTGCCCGGAGACTTCGCCCTGGGTTTAAGCCGCTCCGACCTCCCAATTGGCAAAACACCAGCCTCGGGCTCGCCGCTCCACGGTCGGCTTCACCTTCCGCACTGGGCGGCCCGGCTGACAGACGGCCTTGTCTCGCGGCTGTGATCGTAGCTGTCGCACCGGGCTCGCGACTCCCTGCTGTCGTCGGATCCCTGCCCCTTTGTCATTAATGGCCAGCTCGCACCTGTCAGCGACTTTCTTGGTGCGACACTCTGTCGCTGAGCGGTACCTGAGCACTGCACCCCGGCGGGACACGCCGCAGTTTCCATCCGCGCATGGCGAAGTGGAATCACGAAGTTCAACAGAGACCAATTTGCCCCCAATGGCATCGGCATTGGTACTGGGTACTGGGTTGGCTCCGGTACTACTTGCGCGCCTGACCCGGTCTACCCCGGCTGACGCTTCCCAGCTTGATCCGAGCTGCACGTCCCAGCTTCAACTTGAACTCCTCGTACGCGGGGCTGCCAACGTGCTTTCCCATACCCACATCTAGGTCATGTGACCCCCGGCCACTGAAGCCCTGAACCTCGGCAGAGGGACGCAGTCACAAGCAACTTGGTCTTGCATGACATTTGATACTTCGTGGAGGCGTAGAGTGGCGGCACCGTGATGCACAGGGGGCCGGTCGGGGTTATCGGAAACCTGTGTGTGCCTTTTGAACGGCATGGCCAACAAGAACATGGTGATCCTTGGGTCAGTGCGCAAGGCTTGTAAAGTGACTGACAGAAGGAAAACTCCATCCGCGGCGGGACGAAGGTCGCGCACCTCAGTGGCCATAATGAGGAAGATCGGCTCGCACCATCTGTGCCATGGATTGCAACAAAGCCCGGACCCACTTTTCACGAACAGCCCATGACACAAGCTTGCACTGATCAAGCGCCAGACCACGCCTCTGCAGACACCACTGTAGCTTCAGCGGCGAGGAGTAATCAGCCTCATCCCGATTGGTTGTGGCAGAGACCTTCAGCGGTGCTGCGCAGTTGTGTAATTTTCCGCCTGCGTGGCTTGGGCCTTGCGTGACTTGCGTGCTGCCTCCAGCGCCTGAAGCGTGGCGTCCTGAATCCATGGTGTGCGTGGCAACCTGGTGTGTGGGGTGAAAGCGGTGTTAGCCGCTGCTCTCAACGCTTCTGTAAATCCTTCTGTGGGAGCCGTGGTTCCTGCGACTGGCGGTGTGATCAGGGGCAGTGGGATGTTGCGACCTCCAGTGGCCTCCGATCTATTCTTGCCTTCCTCCTCCAGTCTGTCTGCCCTTTCGTTGCCTATTTTCCTCATGTCTATCGCGTCTGTGCCATATGTCTTCATTCATTCAGAATCATACACCTGCAGAAAGACAACTTATACCCCTGCTTGCAAGTACCCTTGGTCCTCTGTGTAGGATTTCGGGTGCACAGAAACCTTTAATCCATAGGCCCCATAATGGCCTAAACCATGAGCCCTTAACGCACAAACCCGCTGACAGACCTAGATCCTTCAAACCCATGAAACCATGAAATCCAAAACCCACATCCTCCGAACCCTGAATGCTCAGAAAGCCCTACACTCTTGGAGACTGTGAGGCATGATCAGACGGGTACAATACCCTCTGCAGACCAGCTGCAGCTCGGTATGCGGAATCTTCAAGAGCCACGCCTTCACCCGCTTCTGCGGCTGCGGCCTGGCACCGCACCCGAAAGTCCCGGGCCGTGGCCGCTCGGGCCCTGGAACGATGCAAGGCGCACAAGATCCCCAGTGGCGCCAAGAGGGTCCTTCCCTTCAAGTCCCTCCGCTTTCCGCTGCTTCCCCTGCTAGGATCATGAGAGCTGCCCATGCTGCGCTCGAAAGTTGGAGAGGCATCAGCTCGAGGGACCCACAAAGACAAAGGAAAGGTGCCCAAGTTGCCAACGGCAGACAACGCCATGGCTCCCAGGAGTCACCTTCACGCCCTCGCTTGATCTTGGAGCCAAAGTTTGATGCTAAACTTGCCACAGCGACACCAGGGACCCCGAACCTACAACGCCAACGAAAAGAAAGACCTGGTACCGCGAGACTGCGACTGGGAGCATGAAGCACGAAGACAGGACCCCCGCAGTGCTCTCTCAGATCATGTCTGAGAAGGGGGCAAAACAAACCCCCACGCCAACGAACTGACCTTGCTGTAAACTGCTGCATGTGTTCGGCTGACAACGATCCCTTCAAGAGTTTGTCGGTTCGCAGACGCTCCAAATATGCTCTGTCTTCTGAAGCCAATCATGGGACAGAATGTGGGTCTGCAACTGGCCACTCTGTGCCCCGGCACGGCTCCAGCTTTTTCGACTGTGGTAGCTATGCCAGCGCAGGCGAAGCAAGCTTGAAGGAGGCCTACTAAGCTGCTAGGGAACAGCGGCAGCATCACGACACCACGCAGTGTTTTGACTGTCTTCCTTGGGCTCCACAGCCATTGTTGCGAAGAAAGACTGTGTGGGAAGCCGTGGCTGGCGAGCTTGTCGGTATTAACTTGCAGCGCATGCCTAAGGTCAAGTTACCTCAGAATGCACCAATTATGGCGAACCATGCAAGGGTCGCACAATTGATGAAACTGGTGAAACTGTTCTGAGAGACTCAGAGGTCGAATGCGCAGCTGCTTGCTCTCGCAGTTTCCCCCTTGCACAGCAGACTTGAACAGATCGGCAGACTGTAGGGGCTTCTCTTGTCTCAACTTCTCTCTGCGGGCCCTCGGCTTCGGCTGGGCGCCTCTCGTCTCCGCCAGATGCTAGAAGATCGGTGCAGCCTGGCGGTGTTGAAGGGGACTCGACATCCTGGCTGGACGATGCTTTGAGCGGCTGAATCAGGAGCTATCAATGTTGCTTCTGCTGGGGAATTTGAGGCTGAGTAGGGCGGAGCTGGGACGCAGCCGGGCTCTGAGGTGCATGAATTGTGGATTCACCCAGTTCAGGCGTGAACCGTTCGGCGATGCCGCTGATGGTCCATGGCTGGCCCGGAGGAAAGGACGCTCTTTCGTTCACCTGAACGTCCCAGGCCTCCCGCCTCCCTCCCTTGTCCAGCGGTCCAAACCCCCTACCGGCTTAGTTGGCTGAGTTCCTGACTTGTGACGCCTCTTCCTGCCGAGGGCTGCCTGTGGCTTGCGCTCTGCCTGCAATGCAAATAGGGGCAGCCTTCACATCCGTCGCTGTCACAATTCGGATTGTAGACCCGAACACCACTCTTGGGCGTCTCGTGGTCACCGGCGCCTGCACGTTGATGGTGTGTACCCAGAACGTCCTCGGACATCCGACCTCGGAACAGACTGGCAAGTCCAAGAGAGAGCTGCAACTCCAAATAATCAGGTCAGTGCTTGAAGACGTCGTCCCAAAAGGCATCGAAGACCACGAAGTTGTTGTTTTGAGGCTGGGACGAAAAACGACTGCTGCAAGATGCTGCAAGTGAAGGAAAAAACGACTGAGCAGCGCCTTGTGCTTGCAGAGCCCATGGTGCTTCTGCAGGAAGGCCAACAGCTTCGGGGACGGTCGGTCGTAGCCCATCTGCTCCTTTGCAGAAGGCAGAACAGTCACCCAGAAAGGCCTTGTCGTAGCCTTTCGAGCGCGGGGCGGGAGCGATCTCTTCAAGTTGGAGCATCACGCTAAAGAGCTGGTGACCAAACCCGGAACGCTGGCACCTGCAAAGGCACAGGAAGAAACGGTTCAACTTGAGTCGGCATGCAAGCCGCAGCACTTTTCGTGCACGTAGAAGTCCAAGGTGCACCTGCGTGAGGCTACTTTGGAGATCTGGCCCGACTCGCCTTGGACTAAGACCCGGACAATGGCTCAATCTCCTGGAAGCTATTTCGCACCTGGGCTAGACAACGCACGCACGAGGCACATCCCTGCGGCGAAGCCCCTTTGTGGGGTCTTCGCATCTGCCAGCTCGCAACTTCTGAAGGGAGCTTCAACAAAAAGCCGCTTCCGGCCAACCTGTCAAGGTGTCGGGACAAATTCACTGTACCCTAAGAGACAGCCGCGGATTCGCCTGCCTTCAACACTCCAAGAGCTGTTTTCCCTTGGGCGAGAAGGTACACACGCTGATCTCCCAGGAAAGCACCAGACCTTGCAAGCCGAACGAAGGCGAGTCCACGAGTGTGGTAAGCATTCACAACTGCTCGCTTGGTACATCACGTGACCGGCTTTCGCAAGCCCTGCGCGGCTGCTGACCGTTTCCCCATTTCCTGGCATCAGGAAACGTCTCGGGCGGCGACAACAAAGTCGGGAAGATCTGGCCTCCAAAACGGTGGACAACATCCCGCTGTCGGCTCGGAGATGGCTTTCATCTACGAGCCCAACAAGCCTGCCACATGCTCCCATGTTTCGCAAGACAGATGTACGTCTTGGGCGCCAAACGGCCCCTCGCGCCCAGCTGGAGCACCGAGCAAACCAGCAACATCAAATGGAAACTCCATTCAACCTGCAGGCAAACGGCACTGCTGCCCTATTTCTCCACGCAACGATCGTGAGTGAGCCCACGGCCCACGGGACCTCGTGGCTGCCACTGAATCAGTTGGGAGGGCTAGTGATGCAGCACTGTACTCACCATACAACGAATGGCTGCTTTTGTGTAGATGTGCGTCCAACCCAAGAAGCCCTTGCCCACACTCACCTGCCAATCAAGCCATCCAATGTTATTCTCGATGATGACGATTGCTACATGTCTGAATCAGAACATGCATCTCTAGTCGAAGCCGGCTGGTGAGCCGAAGATCCGATGTGGTGAGGGTTCCACAGGTGGCGTTGCAGATACAATTGTCCAGCCCGGACAACAAATGCATTGCAAAAGGGTCACTGTGTGATGGCCAGTACCCCAGAACGAAAGAACAATCGCAACGGCTGTCCGGAATTTCCTTAAGACAAGCTGAAGTAGAAAGCCTACTCAATGCAAGAATCGCCGCCGCGGCACCGCATGCGAAAGCGATCAAAAATAGCCGCAGTTCGGGTGCGCTTGTTGCAATAGACACACTTCCAAATAAGACCACCCTGCCTCGACAATGGCTGGAGTTACTAACAGGGACACGTAACACTGCCTGTCCATATGCACGGCTGCGAAGCACACTCCTCAACCGTGCCTGGGACATGGTGGATCTAAGAAGCAATCGACAGTTCGCACAGCAAACCTTTCGTTTTTCAGTTCTCGAACATGATCTGGGTGTGTGACAGCAAGGTGCACAAGGGCGACGAGCTTGAGGCCAGTGGAGAGCACTAATAAGTTCACGACAACAAGTGGCCAAACCTTGAAGAACTACGGTGAGACGGAACTCCAGCTCCGGGAGGAAAGCACACCAGGTGCCGGTGCTTGTTCCACGTCGCCGATGTGCAGCGGTGCCTGCTTTCGACGGCACGTGTGATCGCAAATTCATTAATCGAGGGTTTGGAACTAAAATGAAAAAGACGCACGGATTTTAACTTTTTGAGTTTGTCGCACAAGTTCTGTTGGAGCAAAAAACACCTATCCTGAATCCGGACACATCGCAAAAAAAACACCATAAAAAAATCATCTTGGCAACATTTGGCAACATTCTCAACCCCTGCCGTAGCGCCCGCGAATTTTTCCAAGGAGGCAGGCCCCCTCCCCCTGCGGTAGTAGCGCTCGCGATTTTTTTTCCAAGGGGGCGCCCCCTTTGCGGTAGCGCTCGCGTATTTTTTCCAAAAAGGCACTCAGGCCCCCTGCGGTACCGCTCGCGATTTTTTTGCAAGGGGGGCAGGCCACCTTGCGGTCAACCTCGCGAATTTTTCCAAGAAGGGCTCGCCAAATTTTTTCCAAAGGGGGTAGCGCTCGCGAATTTTTTTCCAAGGGGGGCAGGCCCTTTGCGGTACCGCTCGCGAAATTTTTTCCAACGGGGGGCAGGCCTCTCTGCGCGCTCGCGAAATTTTTTCCAACGGGGGGCAGGCCTCTCTGCGGTAGCGCTCGCGAAATTTTTTCCAACGGGGGGCAGGCCCGCCTGCGATAGCGCTCGCGAATTTTTTCCAAGGGGGGCAGGCCCGCTGCGGTAGCGCTCGCGATTTTTTTTGCAAGGAGGGGGGCCCCCCAGCGACTGTGTTTTTAGGGGGGGCAGGCTCCCCTGCGCTAACGCTCGCGAATTTTGTCTCCAAGGGGGGCAGGCCCCCCTGCGGTAGCGCCCGCGAATTTTTTTCCAAGGGTGCCTCCTGCGGTAGCGCTCGCGAATTTTTTCCAAGTGGGGCAGGCCCTCTGCGGTAGCACTCGCGATTTGGTTCTCCAAGGGGGCCTGCGGTAGCATTTTGTCGAAAATTAACGTTTCGAATAAACATTAGAATCCCGAGGCATTTTTTCGAAAGTTAAAATTCCGGAAAAAATTATAATCGCAAGGCATTTTTCGAAAGCTATAATTCCGAAAAAGAAGAATCCCGAGGCATTTCTTCTCAAAAGTTAAACTTCCGAAAAACACTTTTATAAGATGCCGATGCATTTTTTCAATAGTTAAAATTCCGAAAAAACGTTAAAATCCCGATGCATTTTGTCAAAAGTTAAAATTTCCGACAAAAAGTTAACACGCCGACGCTTGATTGAAAAGTTAAAATTCCGAAAAACGTTAAAATCCCGAAGCATTTTTTCTCTAAAGTTAAAATTCCCAGCCAAAAGTTAGTGTGAAAACCGGTCGTTTTCCCGTTCGAGCCTTGGCCCAAAAACGGCGCCCTGCGGTAAGTCACTCATAGTCAGTTGTTGCTGCTGTCTTAAGAGGGCTGTACAAACTAGACTACAGGCTTCGTACACGCTGATCAACGAGCACATTTCCACACCCGTGACTCTTTTGGTGTAGAAGCCTGTCGTGAATCCATCAAAGAGTGGTATCTAATCCGTCTCTTGCAGTGGTTCCGCAGGGATCGCAATCTTCCTTCTTTGAAGCTGCTTCGCTCTTTGCTTGATAACAGAATCAATTGGTTGCTCTATGTTCAAGTAATTCGTGGTGATACAGTCTACCAACTTGGTGCTTTCCATGACTGTCGTCAAAAGATCGGCAACCATAACATCTGTATCTATCCATCGGACTTCGTCCATGGGCTCTTTGGGACGGTCGTCCACATAGTATGTCTGTCGGGTTTGAGCCGAAGTTGAGCCAGAGTGGAACCAACCGAAACTAAACCCAAGAGAATAAAAGCATCCAGATATGAAGACTGAAACTGCTGCACGCGCAAGTAGAGGACGTCGGCCTTCTTGAGCTGTGTGTGGAGACTGGTCTGTAAGCCAGGCTGGTGATGGCCAGTGTTGCCCTTTCCTCCCGGGTGGCGTGGGCGGGTACACGAAAACTACAACTCCTTGAGAGTACTGTCGTGGAATGAACTTCTGTCTCGAACTCATCTCGAAGTCAAAGCAACTATGGATGAGATGCTCTCCAACTCATCGTCAAGCAAGCTAAAATGAAAATCGTCATGATTATTCCTCTACAAAACTTTCGTACGCACTGTACGGGTAACCCTTAACACTGCGAGCACTCGGAGTCTTTTTTCCTACACAAGAGCGGGGGTGAGCGTCGGGCCCGATCTTCGGGCGTCAGACGGCCACTGGCCCACTGTTGTCTGACAGACCGGCCACCGGCCTGGGCTGTAGAAACGGTGTAGCCGCTGGCAGCTACTACCGAAGCAGCCACTGGCTGCACGGGTAAGGCGAACGACTCGTCCACCATCGTGTCGTTCCCTACCAGGGTCCTACTAGGAAGACTTAATCTCCAACTTGGCGAAAAAGTAAAGGGCTCTACAAGAGCCACTGCAGCCACTGCACCTAACCGTCACCCTTTTGGTGAGCGGGCGTAAGGCCATTTGGCCTACCGAAGCTACGGGCTCAGGGGAACCGTCTGCGGCCTACACCCTACTGTGCTGCAGGCGAACTTGCCACATGCACTGCATGTACATCGCTGGCAGTGCACTTATACAGGGTCTGGAGGGTGGGCAGAAAAAGCTTTTGGAGCGAAGCTCCACTGAAAGCTCAGGCGCGAAAGCTGCAGATCAAACTTTGACCATGCTCTCCACATGCCGTGAAAACCTTTTTCATTGTTGTCAAACTTTGACTACACTTTCGGGGGGAATAAAACTCATTCGCGCAAGCACGATGGATGCTTATTCCCCTACGAAACTTTCGTCCGCACTGTTAGGTTGGTGCTTTGCTCCTTCTCGGGGCAAATTCGGAGGTCCCGCAAACTCAACACAAAATCAGACAGAATGAGTGCGATAATGAAGCAAATCACACCCCATGGTTGCACCACGACTTTTGGAGCCTGCATCCAGCCCAAACTCATCATTCGGGCCCATACTCGCTAGAACCATTTGTTTGAGCCACCGTTTGAGCAGTTTGCTTGAGTTTTAAGGGTTTGAGCCACCGTTTCAGCAGTTTGCTTGAGCCTTTGAGCCAGTCTTTAGGGTTTTAAGGTTGTTAGGGCTGTCAGAGTCAGTAAAAAGGTTCAGAGCGGACAACAAGGGAGAATGATGGCTTGTACATATTCCCAAATATGTTATGTGAGAAGCGAGATCTATTCAAAGTGAGGAAATATATAAGAGACTTGATCCTTGTAGATTTGCATATTCCCCAATTGTTATGTGGGGTGCGAGATATGTTCAAAGAGATAAAAAAAGGAAGGAAGATTCGGAAGATTGATCTTTTGCCAGTGCTCGGCTCAGAACGTCTGGAAGACTCTTTGAGGCCATCCGTCGACATCTTTCGATACACTACTTCTCGAAGAGCTTGCTTACTGCAATCATCTTGTCCACATTGTGTCCACTAGCCTGGTAGAGGTCGCGGACGATCCCGTAATCATCTTTCAATTTGGGAGTCTGCATGAAGACTGACTTGCGCACGCCATACAAGAGGGCTGAGTTGATCACCTTCTCGAACAACAGCCAGCCGGTGGGCACCCACATCACTTCCGACTTCTCAAGCTGGCAGTGATAAAACTTAAGCCCACCATCAGTCATCTTCTTCAAATTGTCCGGCGAGAGCTTTTCCATAATCTCGATCAGCTGCTTCGTGCTTGTAGCCTTCAGCCCGAGCTCGTTAAGCAGCTCAAGCAGGCTGGATGCCCGGACCATGTAGACACTCAAGCTGCCGAACACCAAGATTTTGAGCGCACCGGCTGAGTTTGGAGTGAAGTTGCACTGCTCAAAGTCATTCGAGTAGCCAAAGAGCCACGACGTGGTACCCCATGAGGCCGACACCTCGTCATAGCAATGATTTGCTACCACATGTGCCACATGTCACAATCACTTGCTGCAGCGGTCTAGTGACTAGTGGAAAACTTCAAACTTCAAAGCCAATTCGAAACAACCAAACCGCACCCGCCTCGCTCATGTCCACGATCTTGCCCTTGAAGTTGCACAGCAGCTTCTCGAACATGGCCTCCGTTGCCTCCTTTCCCTGCGAGGGCTGCAACGGCTGAGTGTGCTTGCCCTCGTTCTTGATAGCATCCTGTTTGATGTAGCGGGTGCCGTAGGATGTTATTACCATAGTCACGAGCTTCTCAGCCATCCACGCTTGCACGATGTCGTTGCCGGAAACGACGAAAGGGATGTCAAAGTCCACCGAGTTGCCCAGCTCCTTCTTCACCGATACTCGTGGCACCTGTGTGAAGGCATCTGCAGGACAAGTGAAGAAGATCTTTGCCGAGCCCGCAGCCGCATCTTTGATCTTCTTGGCACGTTCTTCCGCATCCTTCCTCACTGACTGTGCAGCCTTCTTCTCCTCGTCAGCCTTCCGCTTTGCTTGTGCCCGCACAGCAGCCGTTTCCACTCCCCTGATGTGCTTGCCAAGCTCAACCGCTGCATGCTTCATGCCTGCCGTGAGCTCCACCAAACAAGCCAACATACGTGCCCACTTCAACCGCTGTTTCATCAAGGTTTTCTCGTCCTTGATGCCATCGAAAGACTGCTGCACAAAGCCTGTCATGTGCTTGCTGGAGCGAAGGAACTGCGGAAACTTCATGGCGATGAGGCCTGACACATCCTTCACGAAACCATCGGGAGTCTGCTCGGTCTTGGGCTTGGATTCTTCGGCCTTTGCCTCATCGGTCTTGGGATTGGATTCTTCGGCCTTTGCCTCATCGGTCTTGGGCTTGGATTCTTCGGTCTCTGCCAGCAGCGATTCCTTGTACTCCTTCGGCACGGTCTCCCCCTGCCACTCCAACACGCAAACCAGGTGCACATGTGCTCGCTTGATGTACATGTCCCGGGCCATCTTGTCTGTCTCGCTAAGAGGTGCCTTGGCAATCGCCGCCGTGTGCTCTTGGAGCCTATCCTTAGCCATTGTCACATGCCGCTGCAAATCAGCAGTCTTAGAGGAAAGCTCGGCCGTCATCTTGGAAACGAACGCGGTCTTGGCATTGAGCAACGGAACCTTCTTCTTGGAGGACTTGCAAGCCTTCAGAAAGCCCTCCTCGTCGTCACTGTCCTGCAGGCGCAGCAGCAGCAGCAGCCGCAGCAGCAGCAGCAGCAGCAGCAGCAGGAGGAGGAGTAGTAGTAGTAGCAGCAGCAGCAGTAGTAGTGGGGGGGAAACCCTAAACACTACATTGCCAACAAGCTTTACCATCCGGCCTCCAAAGTTGTCGGCACGTCTTTCTTGGTCGACTTCTCCTTCGCCGGCTGCATGGATGCGCTTGCAGCTGCAGGGGCTTGGCCGGCTGGGGATCCCGGCTGGCTGCCTCTATCCTCTGCATCGGAATCATCGTCGAAGACGGCCGAAGGACCGCCACCTTGCCAGCTCGGCCGCTCGGAAGTGGCCACGCTGGACTGGCCTTGAAAGAACTTGTGACCGAAGCCAGTCTTCAATTCATGGACATGCATTCTCATGGCATCTCGGTCCTTGTCCTTCATCTTCTTCTTGCGGTTGGTGCCCTCCAAGGCAGACTCGTCGACAAAGCGCTCTTTCGATTTGTCTTCATATTCTTCTTTCGCCAACCATAGTCGGAGCTGCCCCTGGAAACCACCATGATCTCGTCGGCATGAACTTGCCTCGGCCTCGTTCCATAAGCTCTTGGCCTGCTCTTCGGTGCGGCCAAATTTGGACACCTGGCGAATGATATATTCCCGCTTCTCATACGGCTTGGTTTTAGCCCCCTCTTTGATTGAAACACGAAGCCCAAAGCGAGCATTCCACTCACTCCAGTCGCAGACACCCTGCTTGAAGAGAGGCGAGGCAATGTTTCGTTGGGACCACTCCTCGACCATCTCAACCGCCTTGGCATCATCCTTGAAGCCCTCGACAACGGCTTGCCTTTGTTCCTCACTTACCTTGGATGCCGCATACTTCGCATTGTCGCAATGACAATGGTGATGCCTGCAAAACTTCGAGCCTGGCTTTTTGATCTCATCACATGTGGGAATCAAGCACTCCTTCTGAACTTCCTTTCGGCCACGCTTAGAAGAGGCGACGGAGTTTGTTGATGCAAGTGATGCATCGCTCAATCGCTTCTTCTTGGTGCCTGCACCTCCAAGACTACTTCCTGAGAGGAGGGATAGCGACACGGCCGATGCGCCATCATCGGTGTCGAACTCGAGATCCTCCATCTCAGAATCTCAGACACTCAGAAGGATCAGCGACCAGCAAAAGGATGCTGGCTGCACCGGCTACCCTAACACTACCTGCCCAACACAACAAAACTGGTACCCTATTCTTGCAAAATCAATGTATCTGAGCTTCGAGACTGGGTCCTTGCAGCAGCAATCAACAACCTTCATGAAACTGCTCAGCGGACGATTGCACACGAAAGCAAAGCACCTCCAAGTTTGGCTCGCTCGGGTGAGTCAAGATCACAGCTCTGGCCCTCATACAAAAGCCGGCAACACTTCAGCTGCAGCCCGCATATGCCAGCTCGAGTTCCAGCATATTGTGGGGATGTTCCTAATGATCGACAAAGACTCTGGCATTAAATTCTCGCCGTGTCTACACCAGAGCCTAAAGACCTTAAACCCTAAGGAACCGAATTTGCTTATTGCACCACCAGCTAGGAGCTTAAACCTTAAACCCTAAGGAACCGAATTTGCTTATTGCACCACCAACTAGGAGCTTAAACCTTAAACCCTAAGGAACCGAATTTGCTTCATGCACCACCAACTAGGAGCTTAAACCCAAAACCCTAAGGAACCGAATTTGCTTCATGCACCACCCACTAGGCCCTAAACTCTAAACCCGAAGCCCAGCCCTCCACCCTAAGCCCCCAAACCCTGGGACACACACACACACACGCACCTGTGTTACTACGCTCAAACATTGATTGGCAGTCGGGGCTCACGGGGACGACGACGACGACGACGCTTGCGGGGTGTCTGGGGGCCTATGGACCGTGAACCTCTACAATACAAACAATGCTCGAACAATAACAAACCTAACATGTCCTCCGCTGTCTGACTGATGCGGTGGCTGCAGCTGCTAATCTGCTACGGCCCTCAAAGTGACTACAGTCGAAGCACAGCTCGCCGCCGTGGTGGCACGTCATCACTTGCCTGTGTCACGCTAGCACCATGGCAAGCTTCTGATTCATCATCGTCGGGTTGCTCTGGCACAGTCATTCGCCCTGGCAGTTTGCTAAGCTCTGACCGCCTGCGGCAATGCCCAAACACAAACAGCATCCAGCAAATATAACTGGGCACATGCAAAGAGTTGCCTGCCAGGAATCTTGCATCTATATCTGACAAACTCTCCAGCACAGGAAGGAGTGGTGTAAGACCACGGGCCCTGCCAACGCAGGGAAAACATCCAAGCCTTGCGCCGAAAAGCACTCAAGAGGCAAAGCTAGTCGGCGATGAATGTAGGAATAGATACTGGGGTGTGTGTCCATAGGTGGAAACAGTGGGCCTGCTGCTGGCCCATAGCCGGGATTGTGATCGAGGTCGCACAGAAAGGAACCATTCAGAGCCTTGCCTGTTTCAAAAACATCATCATACTTCCGCTTTCGGCTTACTGCCCCCACTGGAAGCGCCATGGGCAGCAGCTGTTCCACCGTCTGACGTTGCCAATTCATTGGCAATTTCTTTTTCCTCTTCGCAGCTCGCTCTGAAACCCATGCAGACACTTGCTCATCAGAGGCACAAAAGTATACATCCCCCGTCAAGAAACAGTCTCGATCAAACAGATTGCTCCACATCTCCTGCATTTCTTCATCTGTCTCAGGACCAATCCACACAAAGGCCTCTTTGGAAATGCCTGCAGTAAAAAGTCCGAGGCCGTCGCACCGGAAAGCCGAGGTGATGTGGGCTTGTCTTGATGTGCACCACATGGTACAAATCTTCCAAGCCAGCAGCCTGTTTGTCTGCCGGATATGCATGGGCACACTCTGTGAAAAAGAAATCTTCTGCATGAAGCTCTGCGGCACGCACTCGGTCTATGTGCCAAATGTGATGCCATCTCTCACTCGGACCAGCCTCACGCTTCTGTTTCCCTAACTTGGAATAGTCTGTGCAACACAAACCAGCAGCTGAAACTGTCAAGGGCTTCTGCTGAAACCTGCTCGGTTTCTCCCACCAAGCAGTAGGGGCATCCTCAGAGGATGCAAGGGAGGATGTGTTATCCAGTCTGCTGAAGGCACAACCTGGATATACTGGACAGGCTTTCTTGTGCACTGCGCAGAAGGAGCGACTGTCTGCATCCAATACTGCACATCTATGCTGCAACAGAAAATCATGAATGTCAGAATTCATCTTGCCTGCTGCCGCTGCCTCTGTGTTCAGAGTGGGGGCCACAGTAGTGATCCATTCTGCAACCCAGTCTGGCAAACGATGGTCCAGGTTGCCAAACACACAACTCTCGCCATGATCTAGCAAAGTCGACACCTGCTTCAACAGATCTTGCTGTATGCGGCCACAATCACAGCTTCGAACACACTGCACAGACACACCCTGCTCCAAAACGTCACTGTGTACCTGCAGATATTGACACAGGGCCCGCAAACTCTCACGGGGAGCATCATATCCAGAGAAGTCACTGTAGTACATGATGCCCGGCTTCACCACTTCACATGCTGAAAGAAACAGGTCTGTACCAACAAGTGGTTTCAGCAAATTCTCTTCCCAAAAGGACATGTCTTCTTGGCTGCTGAACCCTGGTTGTCTGTCTGTTTCTGCATCCATGGCCCACGAGCTACCACGCACATAATTCTTTAGAGCATGACAACTGCCCCGACTGCCAGAACTGCCACCACTCTTGCGCTTCGGCGGCATGTTGACATGTCCAGCTCTACAGCAGGTCAGCAGGAGTTCAGTTTGCTGCTAAGGACATACAGCCAAGTTGTTTGTGCAAAGCCAAGGGCCAAGGGCCAAGATCACATAGAGTTTCTAGGATACCTGTTTGTTTGCATTGGAGGACTGCGGAAGGCCTGGAAATCTCTATTACTTCACTAAATCACACAATCCACAGCTGATACTACCTGGGCCACACACACACACACCTGCTTCGAACATGTCCAGCAAGCAAAGTGCAGGAAAATCTCTTGAAGTCGTCAGGATGCTTCCAGTGCAGCAAACAAACCACTCAATGCAAAGGAAAATTCAAAAAAACATGCCATGATCTCGATTTCCTTCCAAAACTGATTGAACATGCTGCTTTCCCTCAAAAATCTATGTTTACAAGCCAGAATGCTACAAAATCCTCTGCCAGCACACAAGGCCGGCTGCCAAAGCCCAAGTGGGCTCTGGGTTCGCTGAAATTTCGTTCAAAATTCGTTCAAAATTCGTTCAATATTCCTGTAACCATAGAAATCAACTCGAAATACATAAAATCTAGCCAAAATTTTCGTTCAAAATTCGTTCAAAATTCGTTCAATATTCATTGAGCCCCTGACAGGCTGCTAGGCCACTCAGTGGCTCTTCTGGATCCTTTTCCATGTAAAAACCTCAATCTTCAGATGAATTAAGGCACAATCAGCCCATTTAGGTGGCTCCACTGCTGTTCCCGGCACATACCAGCATCATGGAAGCATATAAAGCTGAAAATGGACCTGTTAGCGAGCTTAGGAAAGGTTTCCTATGATTTTCATGTCATATCGATCGAAATGGGACCTGCTAGTGAGCTTAGGAAGTGCCTCATACAGTTTTAATATCATATCAGTCCTATCAGTCACTCAGAGTTGACATGATGAACATGGTTGTGCAATCCATAGCAACTGAGTGGGTTTGCTGCTGAAATCACAAGAACCACTGCTGTTGAAGCTGCTTTCGATGCTTTCCCATCTGTACTCTCATAAGTGAGGCACACCACAACACACACCCCCGGATTTTGCACACCATCTCGGATCTGGGTGCACATCACCGCCGGGCACGCTTCTTTGAAGCGACATCACGGCTCGCTCTCGTGAACGACATGACTGGATCTACCGTCTCTGGCAAAGTGCCATCTTGCTGGGCTTTCACGACTTTCTTCCAAACATTGGCATGCTGGTTCCTTGTGGCTATCTTGGCACCCCAGGCACCCCAGACTTTCAGCATCTGCAACGTCTGAGCTTCCGTCCTAGAGCGGGTCACGGCTTTGAGATGTTTGCGACATTTCTTGCTTCCACTCTTGTGGTCTGGGCGGTGGCATGTCATTGCAAAACCATCGAAGACACCGTCCTTGAAGACCTGGGTGACATGGTTCAAGCCAAAGGCAAAGCTGTTGTTCACATTGGCTGCTCGCACGGCCGGTGCTGTTGATCTTGGCACTGGCACTGCACTTGGCTCAGCTGCTGCATCGTCCTCATCGCTCGATGAGGACGATGAACAAGAGGCTGCAGCATCATCATCGCACGGCTTGAACCTGAGGAAGAAGAGGAAGAGTCAGAGGAGGACGAGCTAGATGACGCACACTGTTCTGCAGCAGGTTGCTGCATCTCCAGCCCACGCCCAGGGTCAGCAACTTCCATGGGCCGAGAGCTGCTGCTGGCCTCCGGTACTTCATGCCGCTCACCTGGAAAATCATCTTCACACTCTGATTCATCTTCCGATGCAACAAAATCATCTGCACATTCCTGTTCCAGCACAGCAGCCGGTGACTGTGGCTGCCGCTTCCGGGGAGCCTTCTGCACTCGTCTAGCTCGAGTTGGCTTGGGCAAACAAGGTTCCATGTCATTCTCATCGCAGACATACATCTGTATTGGCCGTGACTTTGGTTCATATTGCTCCCCAGCCAGCAAAGCGGTGTAAAAACCATTGGGCTTCCAATGTGGAACCTGCAGATCACCCCGCAGCAAGCACCGCAGGTATTCCTTGGAGACAGTTGTTGCGGTCGGTGCGGAATACCACTTCTTGGCATCACCACCTGGCAGAAAGTCAGCATCCTTCTTTGAGCGAAATTTCACCACATGTTGAAACCCCTTGCGAAGCAACAACAAAGCCAGCTCCCACGGCGAAAGGTCTTCCAGCGGGACATCTGCTCGAACTTCCAACACTGGCTCGGGCTTGCAGAGAAAGAAGCAGATATCCACAGCAGTCTTTCCTGCAGGTGTCATCACCCAAAGTCCAGAGTCCTGCAAAATCAAACGGAACAACCGACCTCTCCTTAAGCCCTAAACCCTAAGCTCCCTCGAAAAAAA